ATGAACAGAGCTGCGGTCATTTTGAAAAAGAGAGCAAATTTTAAAGATAATTTAGGTACATAAAATTACTTTTTTTATCAAATTTTCTTCATAAATATTTTTTATATATTTTAGGCTTCCTAATGATAGTATTACTATAGTGCTTAGAGAATATTTTGAGACTTATATATGATATAAATAGGGAGTTTTGGTAAAATATGATCATCGAAATTTAGAGATAAATGAGTTGTTAATTTTAATCGGTTAAATTTGTTCATTTGTTGGTTTTTAGTACTTAAATTAATTTTTCTATTTGAAAAATCTGTTATATATGATTTATATTATATTTTTACCAATTAAATTTAAGTTAAATAATTTATTTAGGTTGTTTGACATATTATTGAGATTTTAATCGGTTCAGTTTTATTTATTGGGTGACTGAAGGTTTTAAAATAATTGTTTTAACTAAAAATTTTATTATTTATGGAAATATATATACGATAGTTATACCATTAAAATTTTGATTAGATTATTTATTTATAAATATTTGAGGTGATATTGAATTTTTGATAGTTTGATTTTGAGATTTAAACTTAAAATAAGATTTTTAGAATTTAGAATATAATAATTTTATATTTGAAAATTTTGAAAAATCCTTTTTATTAAGATAAATAATTCAGAGGTTGTAAATAAATAATTTGGCTTATTAGAAAATTTTAAGTTATTTTTAAAATACTTAATTTTGGGTTATGAGAGTTGCGGAAATTTAGAATAAAAATTAAATTAAATTAAAAATCTAACTAATATATATAAGCTTAATTAATTAATTAATTAGATTATATTAATTTTGTGGTTATATTAATTGTGTAGATTAATTATGGGTTGAGCAAAAGATTAACCTTGTGGTAATTCTTTTTATTGATTTGGCTAGAAGTAACCACTTTCTACTTATTATATGTGCTAATATGTTGTTTGTGAGTATTTGACTATTTTTGGAATAATAATGTGTTATTTAAAAGCCAAGGAGATATGTTATATTTTTGGGCTATGAAAATCGTCTTGTGGGATTTTTTGGATTTGTGATTGAGAAGTTTGAAAAAATATATGACTATATCTTATGGATTATACTGAGAAAAGATTGAGATATTTTTATTATATTGTGAATAATTGGTTGTTATTTAGATTTTGGATTAAGTCCGATCCTACCACATGATAAGGGCCATTGGTGCACATTAGTCGACTTCGTTGGTCCCCTATAGTGAGGGATAAGGTTTTGTGGCTTCTTACTCATCTCCCAAAGTGAAAGATAGGCCTATATGTCTAATTAATCTCCCATAATGAGGGATAGACTTATGTGGCTTGTGTGTTGGCCACTATAATAAGGTTTGGATGATTGAAGTTATGTTTCTATGGATATATCTATATTTCTCGAGAATTAATAACTGTCTCACTTGACACCTCACGAGCACGTGTTAGTATGTATAATAAGTTGGAAAGTTGGTTACTGAGGTGTTTTTCTCACATCGTGGCCTATCAGGGAAGGCTCTGGAGGCATAATGTGCTGTTATAGCTTATATAGCCTCCTAACTTTTGTTTTATGTGCTGATTTATTATATATTGTTACATAGGGCTCATCTACTTTAATGTTATAAACTAATACTTTTAATTATTACTATTTGATATGAGAGGGCCGCTAGAAGGCCAGAGACATCTTAGACTCTGCATGTGACACTCTTTGAAAATGTTGACTTTTAACTAATAGGCTTTATAAGCTTATATTAAAATACTTTATTAGTTCGTAAATTTGAAAATATGAGTTTGGTTTGAGTTAATGATTTAATGGTATTTCTGGACTTTAGAAGTTCGAGGCCCAAGTTAACGGTCGATATTACTTATAATATAAGTTTATTTTTTTTAACCATGATAGCGATTTTATAAACTTAAGATTTCTTCTTTTCTATTATGATTAATTTTGCGAATAAATTGTTAGATTTAATATAAAAATTTTTTGAAAGAATAGTCATCACACTTTCCAATTAGATCAGATATGAAATACATAGATTTGGACTGCAGAGTCTCTTTTGGTACTTTTCTCTTGTAGTACACGTCAAAAAAGTTATCTCTGTTTTCTAAAAATAATTAGTGCATCAAATAAAATATAATTATCAAATTTAAAAAGAAATTATAGCCGGCCCAAAAAAATGAAAATTATTATTATCCAAGACGAGAATGATCTCTTTATTTCTTTGGACTGCTAAATCTTGCAATTTCTGCCTTAATAGAGACTTTGGTTTGAGAAACTCGAGCACAAAGGATGAGACAAGGCCTTGTATTTAATTTATTGGGAAAGATGAAGTTGTGGCTGAGATGTCTCTCGTAGTCTGATTTATTATTACAGTAAAAATGCCTGACAAATTGAAGGAACTTTACTTAACTTGGTAAAAATAACATAAAAATCAACTGGAAATTCTTTAAAAAAAAGAAAGAAAAGAAGTCGTGTGAAATTCTTTCAACTAGAAATGCTGCCATAACTTTGATCTGATACGTAATTCCAGGCTAAATCAGGCTCTCTCTCTCTCTGTTTTTTTTTTTTAAATACTATTATCCGGTTTTTCTTTGATCCTATTACCAGCTATTCGAACAATCTACTAATCTAATTCGGGGTTTGTGGCTACTCATCACAGCACTAGTATCTCCACTGAAACTCAAACTTGAAACCCAAAAAAATTCTAGTGGAGCACTGCTAAACCAACTCTGTATTGCCGTGTGGTAGCTAAATCAGACTCTTACAAGCAGAAGAGTACAAGGTCTATTATACTCTTCCGACCTTTAATATGTGACACAATTCTTGAATTAGTTTTGGTTCTAAATATGACCTATTTTTCATATTTATCAATTTTCTCTATATTACTCCTATAAATACTCTCTCAACCATAATCAAGTAGAAGAGGGAGATGGAGTATTAAGAAAGATGATTATGGTGTTTTAGAAAAAATATGTTACTTTTTTTATAATTAACTAATTTACTTAACTTCTTTAATCTAATCAAATTAGTTAAATGGGTCTTATATTAAAGATCGGAGGGGTACAAAGAATAACAAACCACAATCATCCTAATAAAGTATTAAACTTTTTCTAATCCTAGAGTCACTTTAGTTTGTTAAAGCCCTCAAATCGGGGCTTCAAAGAGTTTTTTCTAGGGAGAATCCCAATCAAATCCAACCAAAATACCTAAATTCAAATTTATGTCTACACTTTTAACAAATTCCTAATTAGGCCATGAGACCTAATTAGGGATTTTTTAATGTTGTTAAATCACCAAAATGCCCTTCTTCAATTAAAAAGAAAACTTGATTAATATTCCTCTCCCAAGTAATTCCTCATCTCTTATATTTTTTTTAGACCAAAAAACATATAAGTAATTTTGCAATGTTTGAAATTTGTATATATAACTTATACTATTAAAAATATTTTAATAAAACATGTTAAATTACAAATATAAGTAAAATTATAAATATTTTTTATTTTTAGTTCTTGTAATTTACGTTAGTTTTATTTATTTAAACAATATTGGATCCAACTGAAAACGTAAATAATTACGATTTAATATTAAATTTTTATTATAATTAAAATATTTTAAAAATTTAAAATAAATATTTACAACCTGAAAAAAAAAATTTATTTAAAGATTACATATATTATAATTTGAAATGTTTTATGAAAATATTTTGAAGATTTTAGTTATATTACAAAATTTCAAACACTAAAAAATTATTTAAATTTTTTTTGTCTAAATATTAATAATAAGAGATGATGAACCACTTTAAAGGGATAAAATAATCAATTTTCATTTTTAACTAAAGAGGGGCATTATAGTTACTTAACAATATTCAGCAATTCCTAATTAGGTCTTATGTCCTAATTAAGAATTTGTTAAAAGTATAAGCCTCAATTTAATTTTAAATATTTCAGCAGGATTTAATTAGGATTTTTTTTTTCTATGTCCCAATTTCAAAGAACATTCGTCAGCTGATCAATAATAAAAAATTCTGGCAAAGTGGAAGACAGCCACGCGGTTTGAAAAGAACATTTGTAAAAGCTTGTTAAATTAAAGAGAAGACTTGAGCTGACTCCAAAAGCTTCATCCTCAAAAATGCAAATCTGTGCATAACTGGGTTTCATCTTCTTCCGATCAGGTCGCAGATCAAAGAAATCTTTCACTTATTTCATCCATCAGGTTCCTGTTTTCTTCCTTTCTAATTAAGTTATATATCTATTTTCTGTCATGGCTACCACTGTCAGTTTAAGATTAGTTTCTATTATTTTGGTTTTTTTTTTCCTTCTGTGAAATGGATTTAGCCTTCAAGCATTAATTTTGTGATTATGCTTTCTTTGAATACAAAACGTTTGCTTTGAACTATAAATAGACCATGAGCTGTGCGTCAGCTCTCCCGGCTACACTCCCAGCCACGCCTTAATTTTGGGGTCCTTTCTAAATGTTTCTTTTTAGTTTTTTTTTTTGTTATTAGATTTTGTATAAAATGAACGATATTTTGATATCTTACGGGCCAAAACTTATTCATTTTTCAATTTTATACGATTTTTGAAATACTGAAAGAAATTGGAAAGGGCACCCAAAATTAAGGGACAATGGGGGCACAGCTGAGCAGGTCAACCCCTAGCTCGTTAGTTATCAATTCAATTAACCTGGGATCTATTTTCTTCCTTGCCAATTCTTTTAGACTATCTTTGAAATTTTCATGAACTTTTGAATCTGCGAACTAGATTTATGTTCTGCCTCAAAGTTTTGCCAGATTCATAGCAGGCTGGATCAAATCACGCCTCTCATATATTTAGCCTGATCGAATCGTCAAAAATTGGTCCAATTTCTTCCGTCTTCAGTATCCCCCTTGCTGGTTGCTGCCCTGTTTCTTGAAGGTCCTATTATATATGCATTATTCTTTCTATTTTTATGTTTTTACTTTTGTACTTGGGTTCAGATTCCTAATCCTTGCGTTGCAATGGCGCGTGATGCTGATGGAGTTGGGTGCTCTTCAAGTTCTTCTGGTTCAACTAAGAGAAGGAAGTATCATGTGTTTTTGAGCTTTCGAGGGGAAGATACACGGAAAAATTTTTCTGATCATTTGTATGCCGCTTTAAAACGCAAAGGATTAAAAACTTTCAGGGATGAAGAAGAACTTGAAAGGGGAGAATCTATTAATCCAAGTTTAGTACAAGCAATTGAAGAGTCTCGTTCTGCAATTGTTGTGCTCTCCCCAAATTATGCTTCTTCAACTTGGTGTTTGGATGAGCTTCAAAAGATCCTGCAGTTAAAGGAAGAGACGAGTTTTCAAGTATTTCCGATATTTTACGGTGTAGATCCTTCTGATGTTAGGAAACAAAAGGGAAGTTTTGCAGAAGCATTCAGAAAGCATGAAGAAAGATTTACCGAAAACAAAAGAAAGGTACAAAAGTGGAGAGATGCTTTAGAAAAAGTTGCTACTTTATCTGGTTGGGACTCAAAAGATCGGTAATTTTCACTTTTCTCAATAATTATCATCTCTCTTTTTTGGTTGAGAAATAAGGGTGTAGATATTCAAATGTACTCTAAATTATATTTAAATAAGGGTGAGTGAGTAGGTCCCTTCCCTCCCTAAAATGGGTAAGGGTGGACTGCTTGAAGCTTTAACTAACAAGTATTATAAATGTTATTTACTTAAAACTAAAATACTTTAATCTATTTTACCTTTAATTACATTTTTCTTTTTATCTATTTTGAAAACATACACTTAAGTTTAAATGATTAATTTTGCTAAGAGTATTTTAAAAAGATATTTTTAATTAAAATTTGTACTAGAATAATATTTATTTACTAATTTATCCTTTATCATACTAAATTCCTAATTTTGGATAAAATTATTTTGAAGAATTTAAATGTTTTATTTTTCTTTCTCTTAATTATCTCTTGCAAATAAATATTTTTCTATGTTTTTATCATATTGGGATAAAAGCTTAAGTAATTTAATTATTATAGATATAAAAAGCTTTATTAAGGATTTCAGTAATTCCTTTAATAAATATACACTTCACTAAATGTTTTTATAATTTCACTCCAAAAAATATGTTTATAGATGTTTATTACAAAAATAGTTTGAAAATTTTAAATTACAAATTTAAGTTATTAATATAATCTCTTAAATTCAAATTATTTATTATATGTATTATGAATAAAATAAGCTTTTTAAATATGATCTTAGACATTTAAAAGAAATCTAAATAAATGTATATCAATACATGCAATGAAAAAAATAAAATTATACAATTTCATTATATAATCAAAATTAATAATTAATTAATCTGATAACATATTAGAATGTTTGAAAACATATGCAGTAGAATTATTTCCTATTATAAAAAATTATGTTTTTGACAAATATAAAAATTTAAATAATTTTTATGCTAAATAAAAGTATTTTGGTCAAAGCAAAGGCTTAAAAGTTAAATTTAGATAGATGAAAATAAAATCTCAAATATATAAGAGAGGGTTGTGTAAAATACATTGCAATTTGAAGCGAGGCTTAGGTATGTTTTTAAAAGATATGCAATATTTTTGTAATTGAGATAAAGGAGAAGGAATGATTAGTAATTAGGAAAATTAATGTGGTAGTTCTTAAAGTTTTGTCTGATTTTGAGTTAGGTTCCTCTAGTTTCTTTTTTCTTTTTATGAATTTTTTATAATTTGTTATATTAAATGAGCAACTCTTTCCGTAAAAAATACTCTCAACGCTATTAATGCTACGTGACATGGCATTAAAAAGGCTTGCTTTCTCTTTCTTTCCAAGGCCAATCATGAGCTTTTTCTTTCTCTTTCTTCCACGTGAAAGATCGGGGATCTCTTTCTCTCATTAATCAAGGGCCAACCACACCAGTCGATAAGGAGAAGAAAAGCTCCTCCTTAAACTATATTCACACATTTGAAGTCAGCTCATTTAAAAAGTTGAAAACATCTGCATATTTAATATATGAATTTGTTTACATATACTTCCTCTGTTTTTTTATTATAAGATTTAATTTTTTAAATGGATTTCTTTTTTTTTAATAAGATACTCTTTGAGTTTGTCTGAACATTTAATACAGCATTATCTATTTTATTCCTAATTTAGTGTATTTAAGACATTCTCTTTTTTTATTTATCTCATTATTATTCTTTCATATTTTTCTATTTATATATAGAGGTATATTTAGAAAAAAACTGCATTTGTTAAATATTAATTACTTTTAACTAATTTTAATTATTTTTTAAATTACGTAATTTAGTTAAAAATATTTTATAATAAAAGATGGAATAATATATCAAGATGGAATAGTATATCCCCAGCGGCCAGCGGCATATGGAAAGGTGAATACAATTTAAACCTTTTGGCATGAGACTGGCGTGGTTGGCTCTTAAGGGATGAGAGAGAGAGAGAGAGAGAGAGAGAGAGAGAGAGCCGCAGGCTTTTACTAGGAAGAAGAGAAAGCAAGTCCATGTAGCCTTTTTAATGCTATGTCACCACATCATTAACCGTGTTGGGGGTATTTTTAACAGAAGGAATTGTTCATTTAATGTAATAAATTATAAAAAATTCATAAAAAAAAGAAACCAAAAAATAAAAAGACTTGATTCAAAATCAAGTAAAACTACGAGGACTGCTAGATTATTTTTTTCCTTAATATTTCATCCATGTTATTTCATTATAGACTTGTACTTTTTGTTGTTGCTAAAATAGACTAGTAGCACTAGGTTGTAGATGATCTCTGTTTTCCAATTGAATTCAATTAATGATAGAATTCTGAAATGGTCATTTTTTTGAATATGTATTAGTAAAATTACATAATAATAATTATGTAATTCAACAATTAAAAAATTAATATTAATAATTTATAATGTGTTGATTAAGTGACTTCAATATCTAGGAGTTATAGTAAAGTGTGTGGACACACACACATAACCGTGTATGTCTGCAAATAATTATCTCCTGTCCCCATTAAGTTAAACTAACGTTCACGGAAAACTTAAGATTGCTACAATTGTGGTCATGTTTTCTTTACATCTCACATCAAGTGTCTTTTATTGTTTATGCAAAAACTTCAAAATTCAATTGACTTAAAACCGTCACGCTATTTTCATGTCCAAAAAAAATCATTTTACAATTTTATTTTCATATGCAGGTATGAAACAGAATTCATTGAAAGCATTGCTGAAGAAATGGGGTCAAAGTTACTTGATAAATCAGCATCTGGTCATGGCAAGTTAATTGGAATTGAACCAAAATTAGATGAATTGAAGTCAATTGTAGCAAGGGAATCAAAAGGAATTGGGTTTATAGGAATATGGGGCACAGGAGGCGTAGGCAAAACAACTCTTGCTAGAGCCTTTTATGAGCGGAAGCGAGAGCACAAAAACTTTGAGATTCACTGCTTCCTTGATAATATTAGAGAGGCATGGGAAAAAGAAGGTTTGATTTCATTGCCAAGAAAACTTCTTTCTTCTCTAGAAAAAAAGAGTATGGAAGTGGCTGATTTTTATGAAGGAATGGGGTTAATAAAGAGAAAGTTGACTGACAAAAAAATTCTACTTGTCCTTGATGATGTGAGTGATATTAGGCAACTTGAAAATTTGGCTCCAAAGCAAGGATGGTTCAGTGAAGGGAGCATAATAATAATAACAACTAGGGACAGGCATTTGTTATCATCACATGGTGTATCTGCTGTGTATGAATTCAAATTATTGAGTGATAACGAGTCCCTTGAACTTTTCCTTGAAAAAGCTTTTAAAGAAGAGCATCCTAATGAAGATTATTTGAAACTTGCTAGAACTGTCATTAAGTATGCTGGAGGCCTTCCTTTAGTGCTCACAGTGTTAGGTTCATCTCTTTGCAAAAGAACTATAGTGGAATGGAAAGATGAACTAGCTAAGTTCAAGAAAGTTCCTCCAAAGGACATTTTGAAGATACTTCAAGTGAGTTTTGATGGACTGGATGATCAGGAAAAAACCATATTCTTGGATATTGCTTGCTTTTTCAATGGGATGGACAAAGATCATGTCATACAAATTTTAGAAACTTTGGAGAAGGATCTTCACCCAGAAACTGGGATAAATGTTCTCATTAAGAGATCACTAATAACTAATTATGAAGGGCATTTGTGGGTGCATGAAATTCTCCAAGATATGGGAAAATATATTGTTTATCAAGAATCACCTTATGACGCCGGCAAGCGTTCAAGGATATTGTCTTTGGAGGATGCCAATCATGTACTAAAAAGAAATAAGGTGACATTATTCAACCGTTCTTTTGTTTATGTGCTTTTTTAATATTAATATATTCCACAACATTTACCTTGGCTTGTTGTTTTATAGGGGACAGAAGCAACTCGAGGAATGGCCCTAACATTGGAAAAGTCATGTGATGCATTTTGGGATCCTGAAGCCTTCTCAAAGATGAGTAATCTCAGGTTACTTATCATTTCAAGTCGCTCACATGTTTCACATTGCCAATTAAATCTTCCGCATGGGCTCAAGACCCTTTCCAGCGAGTTGAAAGTCATAGAATGGGTGGGGTATCCATTATTTTATTTGCCTAGTCAGCCTCAACTCCATGAACTTGTAGTACTAAAAATGCAACATAGCAAATTAAAAGAACTTTGGAGAGGAACACAGGTATTACGATCCTTTCATTTAAATTCTTTGTCCATAATTTAATAAATTATAATTATAATTAGTGTTTGGTTTTGAGGGCTTATTGTTTCCTATTTTTCTATTGTTAGCCTCTCCCAAGCCTAAAGTCTCTTGATCTATCTCATTCAAAATACCTCATCAAAACCCCAAATTTTGATGGAATTCCTCATCTTGAAAAGTTGATTCTTGAAGGGTGTTCTAACTTGGTTAAAATTCACCAGTCTCTTGGGCAACACAAGAAACTTGTCATTGTTGACTTGAAAGATTGCAAAGAAGTTAAAACCCTTCCAGAAAAATTTGAGATGAATAGTTTGGAGACTTTTATTCTATCGGGTTGTTCAAAAGTTAGAAAACTTCCTGAGTTTGGAAAAGATATGGCATGTCTATCGAAGCTTGATTTAGAGAAGACTGCTCTAGCCAAACTACCTCAATCGTTGGGTAATTTGATTGGTCTCGTTGAATTAAATTTGACAAACTGCAAAAAGCTGGTTTGTCTTCCATGTAGTGTTAGCAAGTTGAAAGCTCTGAAAGTTATCAAAATTTCTGAATGCTCAAAGCTTTCATGGCTGCCAGAGAGTTTGAATGAAAATGAAGCTTTGGAACAGCTTCATTTGAGTGGGATTGCTATACAAGGGTTATCATTTAGTGACTACAATAGCGAAACACAATCTTCATCATCATGGAGTTGCTTATCCCTTCTTCAAAGGCCTTCAAGCTCCAAAAAGTTTTTGTTGCCGCCGTCTTTGTCGTTCTTGAAAGGATTAAACTTAAGCTTTTGCAATCTCCAAGATGGATCACTTCCTGATGACATCAGCATGTTATCATCATTGGAAATTTTAGATCTAAGTGGAAACGATTTCATTGACTTACCATCTGGCCTCATTTCCAGTCTTTCGAAGCTTCAAGATATTTGTCTCTGGGGTTGCCCAAGGCTTCGGTCTTTGCCGCAACTTCCGTCAAATCTATTTGCTATATTGGCTGACGATTGTTCATCAATGGAACATTACGGATGTGCAGATCAATTATGGGATTTCATTGAATCATTTCAACCTCAGGTTTATTTTATTTGTCTTTAATTGTTCTTTCACCTCTATCATTTTACTTCTTTAACACGCAAAATTGTTTCTTATAGGTTCACAACCATTTCAATATGAAGTCAGCAATTATAAGAGGGGATTCAGAAATTGTGAGTTTTTAGAATCACCTGTTTTTTTCTTAATTTCTTTGACAATAAATATATAGTTTATTTTACTTGTACGTATATATTGCCATTTCTTACGTGTTAATCAACATACTTCTGATACAAACAATCTGTTTTTTTTTTTTTTTGCTTTTTTTTGCCCCAGTTTTTTTCCGTCCGTCTACGTTGGCACTCATTAACAATTCCAGGCAGCAGAGTACCATCATGGTTTTATAATCAAAACTACTTTTGCACGAAAGAATTCTGGACTTGTCCAAATAATGTGTCGTTCATAATAAATATATCCCCTGATTATTGTGGTTCACGTGAATGGTGGGGCATAGCCATATGCTTAGTCATAGAACAAGATCTCACATTTGGAGAGGGGTGGGATGGAATTTGTTGGAGTTGCAGATTTCCTGATGATGAATTTCCAAACTCGTGTTGTTGTCATAATCATTATGCACATCCGGCTGAGAGTCCTCTGCTTTATATAACATATATTCCTTATTCCTCTTTGGTTGTCAATGGACTTCAAATGGTATTTTTCTCTAAGAATGCAATGGAAAATAAGTCACCAAGGACGAAAATAAGCAAGTGTGGGTGGCGAGCGGTGTGTAAAGAAGATGTCGAAGCATGGCGAAGAACAGGGGACGAAGGTTGTAGTATCATCAATAACTACGTGAAGATTGATCCAGACATCAACAATGGAGGTTATAGTCCCCGACCGAGACCTGATGATGGTATTGTAGAAGTGGATGGCGCCTATTCTCATTCAGATGACAAAGCAGCTTGTGGAGGCGTTCTTAAAGATGGCACCAATTGTATGAAGGAGGCTTTTCTTCTGAAATTAAGCGGCGGAGATACCCTCACAGCCAAACTATGGGGTTGCTTGATGGGTCTCAAAAGTGCTTGGGACATTGGTATTAGAGGTGTTGTCTTGAGAAGCGACTCCGCTGAGGCTGTTAGATTGATCAAATTTGAAGTCCCTGAGACGCACAAGGATATTGCTCTCATCATGGAAATCAAAGGGATGTTAGAGTGGGATTGGTTTGTGGATGTCCAGGTCTTTCACAGAGACGGCAATGGCATTGCTGAATTACTTGCTAAAAGAGCACTTAATGGAGCAATGGGTCTGCAAATACTGGGCCCTGAGACAACGATGAAAATATTACAGGCCACTGATGTTATACAACCTGAAGTTGAGAAAGATGGGGGTTATACTCAATGCTCCAGACATCATGATCAGTTCGTTGTTGAAGATGAGTCTATACTTCCAAGGTACGTAGATCAACCCTTCTGGTTTTAGATCAAAATTTATATTTTATATTAATGCATGCTTGATGGATATTTAAATTTTTGGTTGATACATTAATTTAAAATAATCTTTCAATTCTTATAAATATTATATCCACTTGATTACTTCCTTTCCGTAGGGGCTGTTCGTTTTATATTATTGGCCGGGTTTGTCTTCATTTCTTGAAAAATTTTCTTATTTTTTGCATTTTACTTGTATGACACGTATATGGTTTCAACGTTCCATCAAAGGTCAAACTAGATTTTATGCGTTCCCTTAATTTTTCATTCTCATTTCATAAGTTGAAGAAGATTTTACGCAGTCATTTGTATGTGGTAAGGACCACAGAAAAGGGTTTAGGGGGAAATGGAAATAATATATATACGACCCAATCGCCATAGGTCAACTATATATTAGCAATGTTCACTGTTCTTGTTTTGATGTAACTGAACCAACTTGAAATATCATTTTACAATATATATATATATTATAATTCAGTACTGTTTAAAATAAGCAATTATGAGTGGCACGTTTTATGCAGATCAAAAGTTAAAAGATTGCAAAAATCAAAAGATAAATCTAATATTGATTTGGAAGGCTGTAGCGATTGGGAGTGGATGTAACTTTTGGCATTCTCATGGGCTTCTATTTCAGAATTGGTGTCAAGGTATGTTTTAGATATTTTTACATCAAGGTGCATGTATCCATCGATACTAGTTAAAAAATTGTCATAGAAAGCCCTTTTTTGGTGATTGTAAAACGTTTGTTTTTGCATCAGTATCATCAGCTCTAGGTACATATTTTCGAATCATTTTACAAAATTAAAGCAAGTAGATTTCCAAAACTCTTCCAAAATCTCTCCAGTTTCGATTAAATTTGTTACTATTAGGCTTATTGAAATATAAAATAACTTGGGATAGACAATATGTATGCTTCATGATTCTTACTTGGCTGAAAAATCGATCTTCCCTTGAGTTCATTTATAGGTTTTGTGTATACAAGTTGGCCAAATCTCATCTTAGAGGCATTCAAGAAGCAAGAGCTAGATACAAGGAGCAATTCTTCAAAAACCATCTCCTTGCTGAAGGACGGATGTAAAATCAATGAGGCCCATACAGATATAGCAAATAGGCATGTGGAAGTCTTGCATATTTCTACTTACACTTCATTAGTTTAGGCTTTTCACTTTTGTTATGTTCTTTTTATGCTGTTTTGTTTTCCTCATGCATCCAAAACGGGGGGGGGGGGGAACAACAAAATTGGTACATATATAAGCTTCTCATTATGGCTTAATATATCTATAAGATTAGTACAGTTTGTACAGGAATTTCTCCACAGTCCTACGCCCTCTTGCACCGTTCCCTCCCCTCTGAAAAACCCCAACCAAACAAAAGGTTACGAGAGGATGTATTTCAAACTCTTATCCGCAGAAATTGGACCAAAATCATTTAAGACGAATTGCCTGGGGGGATATCCTTGGGCTTTTTTTTTTTTTTTTCTGGGGACAATTATAGTGAGATTCTTTAAAAAAAAAATTTCAAAACGAGTCCCAAAAGTTATCATTTTCTACCATAGAACTTGTCATTACAGACTGTTTAGGTTGTTATTAGAACTTTTTGGTGATTATTTTCCTTTCCTAGGACCTTATTATAATTGTCCTTTTTTCCCCCTCACTGGCAACAGAAGGATCGAAGGTTGTCGTCGTTGATTCAATCACAAATAGAGGGTTTCCTTTATTTAGAGTATAATCTGTGAGTTTATGCTCCGGTCACTCAGTGATCATTTACTCTTTTAATAGTTGAGTAGGAGGTAATTATATTATGTTGTGTAAGGGGGAGTTTGCATTTAGGCAGAATAAATATCACTGATTCTACACGTTATGAAATATAAAAGATTTTGTTCCACGTCTCTTTAGGTATTTTCCCCACGGATTACACGTCAAAAAAAATTATCTTAGTTTTCTACAAATATCAAGTTAAGAAAAATATTGCTGGCCAGAAAAATATTAGTATCCAAGGTAATCATCATTTCTTTATTTCTCTTGAGATGGCTCTCATAGTCTGATTTGTTACAGTAAAAATGCCTGACAGATGGTAAGGCGTGTTTCGAGTCCTGGAACATTGTAGGAAACTTCCTTTAACTTGGTAAAAATAGTATAAAAAGTTGTGAATTAATTCCTTTTTGTAAATTATAAATTGTACTTTATGATTAAAATATAATTTTTACTCTTATAAAAATTTTCTTGGTTCATTATTATACTTAGCTAAAAATATTACAGTTTTTAAAGTTCCAATTTTAAAATAAATTTTTTATTCTTTGAGTCTTTTATTGTAACTTTCACCAAATTTTGATGTGTTGTAGGGGGGTTTCAAATAGTAATAATGATTGTGTTTATTTGTCTTCAAAACCACGGCTATATGAAGCTTCTATATATCCTCCATCTCATGACATATACATATATATATCTATAAAATGCTCTCATAAGTTTATGCATGTGTGTTTTTACTTCGTACTTTCAACTATTGGACAAAAATTCAGAATAATAAATAATAGATAATTCTATTTCTATCGTAATTTTTATTTTTTTTATTAATTGAACCCTTCAAAAGAGATAAAATTGGCAAATAAGAAACAAAATTCATTAAGAATCCATTTTTTTCTTCTTCTTCTTCTTTTGGTACGGAACATACACATCAATTTTCATGGATCATATATACTCTTCATTCCATTTCCAGTTCCTATGTTAATAGAAGTGTGACTTCTCTTTTGTCTCACAGTAACAAAAAAGAAATTCACGGTATGTAGGCTTTTCTTAGTGGTTTTTTTTTTCCCCCCCTCGTGAGCACCTTGGTATCCAGCCCGAACAGTCGACCCTCGCAAGCCATATAGGGGGCAACCCTCCCAAGCCAGCAGCTCCATTCACAACCCTCAATGTTGCTTAAGGGACTTAGAGGGTATTTGAACAAAAACAAAACCATGGTTTTAAAAATACTTTTACGGTATACGAAATAAATATGTGAGGAGTTTACCTTTATTTATGAAAAAGTGCTTTTGAAAAGTGTTTTTGGGGTTACCCCCTTAGTACCTCATCCGGCTAGACCAATTGGACATCGATTTTTCCTAGTATTTTATTATTAAGTATAATTATAATATTTTTCGGTGGACTTGCGTATTCATCAAATCAATAACAGTTTTAAAGGTCAAAGGATCAATTATACTTTAAACAACAAATACAGGGAGTTAGAAACAAAGATACAAG